GAAAAGTAAGTGTGAGGTGTACCTCTCAAACTCTCCAGTAGCCGCCAAGTGAATCCGCCTTGTAACGGGATGCAGAGCTCATGTAGCCGTATAGAGTGGCCAGGCTGACACCACCCCAATCATACTCTGCCACGTGCGGCAGATGCACCAGTGCTCCTAAGAAATATAACCCCACGGTATTCTCCCTATTTGCGAATAGGGTAGTACCGAGGAGATACATGAGAAAGTCGCGGGTGTACTAGGTGACCTCCTCCGGTAGTGTCTGGGATTGCCTCGAGAAGCTGATGCTATACATCTCTCCACTGCGTCATACCAGGATCAAACGGGATCGGGCCGCTAATCCCTATCTTCGGACCAGTGAGCATAGAGAAATCATATGGGGTCAGAGTTATCTTCCCAATCGATGAAAAGTGGAACAAGCCAGTGGTATCTCACCACCTTTCCACTAGGGCCTCGTAAAGCAGTGGCTCAGCTTGCTATTGTATAAGTCCCAAATAGAAGAGTCCAAAGCCGGCTGCATCAACCAACATGCGAACCTCCACAAGAAGTCTCTCATACCAGTGCCGGGGGCTAGATATGGATCCATAACCGCCAATCCTCCTGGCTATCACCTGTCATGTGGAAATCTTGTCAGCATTTGCAGTGTATTGAAAGGAAGATTTGTTTACAAGTTTCAAGTATGTAGTTACAAGTATGCTTAAACAATGAGGGGAAGTTGCTTACCGTGGATGCATCGGTGGACAAGTGCTCTGGAAGCTCTCGCAGTAAAATGTCCTTGTCGATCCCAGGGATGAGTCCCTCAAATCTCAGGATACTACTGGGGGTCAAAGCATGTGTGCGGATCTGGTAAGTGCTCGCGTCAAAGTTCCTATCAGCCAATGGAAACAACTCCAGCTCAAGTACAGGTGGAAGGATATCATCGGCCTCAATGTCCTCACCAAGGATAGCACCGATACCCACCATGGGGTCAGGGATGGGAACCTCGTCACTAGCCATCAAGAAATATGAAGGAAAAAATGAGAAAAATGTGAAAGAGTGGGTGAGTGAAATTGAGTAAAAATCCACAAAATTCTAAACCCTAGGAGAGAGAAAATAAGAGACAGTGAAAATCAAGGCGGAGAAAGAAAAAAAAATGAGGGTAAGTATGTGAGAAATCAAGCAAAACAAAGAGAAATCATGAAACTCAACGAAATCAATTTTTGTTCAGTTCAAACGTAGAGGAGTGAGTGGGTTTGAAGAAAAACATTCGCGAGAGTTTGTGGGTTTTGTGAAAATAGGGTAATCTAGAGAGAGAAAAGGCTTAGAGAGAGAAGGGGAGGGAGATTCGGTTATGTCTGGGTGTGAAAATGAGGGTTGGGTCTTGTTTAAAACAACAATGGTTGTGGAATGGCCGAACTGCCCCGTGCCGCCATCGTAACCCAGTCGGTTCTATTAGGGCACGGCCGTGCTTTATTTAGGCCCGACCGGCCCCAAGTGCGTTACAATGTGCTAATTTTTCCAGAATTGGACTGCCTTGTTTGCTTTGAAAGAAAATGAAGAAAAGGAAAGAGAAAACATAGTAGAAAAAGAAAAAAAACAGAGAGCAAAAACAACCAAAAAAAAAAAAGAAAAAGAAAAGGAAAGGAAAGAACAACAAAAAATAAAAGAAGAAAAAGAAAAGGAAAGGGAAAAACAAAAAAAAAAAAAACAAAAGAAAAAGAAAAGCAAAGGGAAGAAACAACAAAAAATAATAAGAAAACAAAGAAATATGGAAAGAAAGAAAAATAGAGAGGAGAGGAAAAGAATTTGTTCTCGTTCTTGTTTTATTGCGTTTTCGTAATTTGTTTCATATGGTGTTGTATTCAATTAAGCTCATTTTCAAAACTTTTGCACAATTGGTTCCAAATTGATCATTTCAAGCATCACTTTGATTATGTTGATTATGTACCTTTGTTTAATTTGTTACAATTCATGGTGTTCAAATTTTCGTCGAACTTCGTGCTTACACATTGTACTTTGTTTTGAGTTTTCTTGGCGAGCTTCATTTTCTGGGGCCCTTTGTAGACCGCTTAGAACTCCCGCTGCGTGTGCGAGGGCGCGAATCGTGGTTCTTAGCTACTACAGTTTGGACTCGTGTTACGGTTCTGAATCTAATCTCACAAAGTGCAATTTGAGACCGATAAATCACCAAAGAGTCCAAATCCGGCAAATTGTTTTGGAAAATCGATTTTAATAAAAGAAGTGCCAAACATGGACTACTTTGCCAGATACAGAGTCGCCACCTAAATGTTCTATTTTGGGAAATTTAGGAAACCCTGACTCGTGCCTAAGGCCACGTGTCCGTCATCACCAAAGTTGCCTCAGCTCGGGAACTTGGGTACGAGAAGGGAAGGTCATGCAATGAGCACCCCCGCTCGCCTGATCAAAGATCGGCCTTTACTAACATGATATGTTGTTTTTGAAAACACATGTGTTCTTATTCCGGCTATTAGCTAGAATTACTATGTGATGCGCATAGCATACAAGTATAGACTAAATCACTCATGTTGGAACAAAACATTTCATGTTTGTTTGTTTGAAAATGGGTTGGAAGTTTGCTACTCGCAAGTAGGTTAAGTCGTGGATTTGCCACCCTCAAGTGGGCTTAGGAAACATGATTTGGCCACTCTAAAGTGGGCTTAAAACTCACAATCATCGAGTTGTTCCAATCCAGGCAATCAAGCCTTCATCCACAGACATTCAAGTAGTTAATCACTTAAACAGTTAGCCTCATGGCAAGCATGCTATCATGGCAACATTTACATACATGCAAGATGCTAAAGCATAAATACTCACAGTGTACTTCGAGCCAAAACAAAAAGCTAGTTAGTAATCATACATGATCCTAGCTATGTTGAGAATGGCTAATGCAACACATGCAAAATGCAACTAAGATAGGCTCGGCTATTCTAAGATGTCATGTGAATGCAACAATTGATACACATATTCAAATAGGTATTGAAATACAATGCAGTTTGTATGATGTGTCGAGCCCAGTGCATGCAAAATAGATGAATGAATGCAAACATGCGAAGCATAAGGATGCTAATTGAAATATGCGCTAAAAGTAACCATCGAAAGCGGGTAAGTAAAAGGGAGAAAGAAATAGGGGTTGGAAGACAAGCATCACATGCACGTACACTTATTTACTATAGTTGGCCCTCTCGACGGAGGGCCGAATGAATTTAGCTAACTAGCTACGCTAATTAAACTAATTATTACAAAGCAATTGATTCACTAACTAAGTTAATTAATTATTACAAAACTCTAACTAATTAATCACATTAATTTAATTACAAAACCAACTAAGTAAGAAACTAAATAGGCTGTCACAGCTCTGCCTCGAAATGATGAATGATGCATGCTCGGTCACGTCCTCCCGGAAATCCACCATTGTGCCTCGTGATGCCTCTGCTTGCACCCTTTTGGACTTCTGAAAATTATGCCAACTTCCAAGATACTTCTGATATACCTTATGACCATGCTGAGGGGTGGTCTGCCAAGTGGAATGGCCATCGGCTAGATTTCATGGCTATCGGCCAATTTTGATAGCCGATCGGCAGACTTGGTGGCCGGTCGGTAGCTCTGATGGCCGGTCGGCCACTGCTTCCTACAATTTCTCCTTTTGTTGCAACAGAGCACAGACAGAGGCATGATAGTGTATTTGCAAGGAAATGTGTGTGCAACCACACTCCTTATCATGTCTCAAGCTCAAAGGAGTGTAGTGCTCGGCTCTCGAGCCACCAATCACGCATCTTAATGCAAGATGGCCAAATAAGCCAAGTTTGGACAATTCAATGAATGCACAAATAGACTCGATGAAACTTCCACCCTATCATGCACGATCAAGGGTGTCAGTGACTAAAAAATGAGACACGTTTCATCACTTCAAGTATGAAACATCTCTTGTTTCTTGTGTTTGGATTAATGTCCTACCCAAACACATGCAATGCAACACAAATATGTTATCTTGGCATGTTTTACTTTGATTCATTTTGTTTACTCATTTTAGATTATCGATAAGTCCTTTAACCGGTTAAGTCCAAAAGTGAGAAGTCCTCTAATTTGAAAGACGGACCAAGCCACAAGCTTCTTGAGCATGAAAGAAGCATCATGCCATTGGGCATGAACGCCTCAATTTCGTGCTTAAACCAATAAAGGGCTTAAGTCCAATTTCAAAGAACATGAAAGAGTGAATTAATGGAGTGCAATGGCATACATTCCAGCACTGAAATAGGATGCTAAAGACACTAACCCATGCAAGCAACACATGTACAACATGTTAAGGGCCAAAGGCATTGAAACTAGTGACAAGCATTACACTAGAGGCATGCAATACAATGCTCAAATGATCATACCAGCTATGAACAAACCTCATGCATGCCAAAAAAGTGGCTAAAATGGACTAAAATGATAGCATGAAAAGTAAGAAAATGCATGCTCATGCATTGACCCATAAACGAGGCATAAGGCTCAACTCTTAATTTGGCGGAGGTCATGGTAATTAAACGAATTCTGAGGTGTTTTGAACTGGTTTCAGGGTTGAAGATTAATTTTCATAAGAGTTCCCTTTGTGGAATTGGTGTGTCTGATGACGAGGTGAAGCAGTTTGCCTTTAGACTTAACTGTGCAAGCCAGAAGCTTCCGATGATGTATCTTGGTCTGCCTTTGGGGGCTAGTCCCAGGTTAAGAAAAACATGGAAACCAGTCATCGAAAAATGCAGAGTTAGATTAGCTTCTTGGAGGAGACGATTCCTATCTTTTGGTGGGAGGTTGGTACTTATAAAATCTGTGTTATCTAGTCTGCCTACCTATTATTTATCCATTTTCAAGATCCCTGTATCTGTGGCTAAGGTTATAGAAAGGATTCAAGCAAATTTTCTCTGGGGAGGGTCTGATTTGAAGAGAAAAGTTCACCTGGTCAGCTGGCTGGAAGCAACCAAAAGTAAAGAAAATGGGGGTTGGGAATTAGAAGAGTCAAGATGGCTAACGAGTGCTTGTTGATTAAATGGTGGTGGAGGTTTGGAGCTGAATCAAATACTTTGTGGAAAAGAGTTTTGTGTAGCAGGTATGGGTCAGTGGGTGGAAATTGGTTGCCTAGTACTTCCTTCTCTGGTTCCTACTCAAAAATCTGGAGTGGTATTATTAATGTAGGTCAATCTAACCCACAGCTTTTGAGTGTTTTCCTGGACAACAGTCGGGTGGTGGTGGGAAATGGGATTAGAATTCAGTTTTGGACTGACTACTGGATGGGGGCTTGTTGTGTCAAGAATGAGTTTCCTAGGTTGTATAGTCTCTCAACTAAAAAGGAGGTGTCTTTGAGAGTGGTGTCACAAAGGAATGAAGCCTCACCTAGGTGGATTTTCAAGTTTAGTAGAAGGTTATTGGGTTGGGAGAATGATGAGCTTAGAAGGTTGAGTACCTTCTTGGAGCAGAATCTGGTTGGCCTCTCGGATAGGGAGGATCGTCTTGGGTGGTTGGCATCTCCTTCTGCTGAGTTTTCGGTCTCATCTCTATATTCTTTGGCAGTGCCTTCAGCTCGAGTAGTGGTAACAAAGTTAATCTGGAATAAATTTTCTCCCCCAAAGGTTCAATTTCTCGTTTGGCTAGCATGGAATGGGAGACTAAAAACAGCTAGTTTTCTACAGAGGATTGGTGTGTTGGAGCCGGAAGCATCTGCCATGTGTGTGTTTTGTCATGAAGGGCTTGAATCTGTATTCCATCTCCTTATATGGTGCCCGTTTGCTTGGAGAATTTGGTGTGATCTGATGCAGTGGTGGGGATTGACTTGCGTAATTCCAAAAACAGTGGAAGGGATTCTTAATTGGTGGAGGGGCTTCAAGTGGAGAAATAATCTGAATATGATCTGGCGAATTATACCATTTGCGGTTTTGTGGTCGTTATGGAAATTCAGGAATGAAAAAGTTTTCTGTGCAAGTCAAATGCACTTGGAGGAGCTGTGTGAATTAATCAAGACAAGAATTGCATTGTGGGCCAAATTCTACACTCAAGATTGCTGTTACTCAGTGCAGCAGATTATCTGTAACATTCAGGAGATTCGGCTGGGAAATGGTTAGTATATGATAGAGGGGCTGGTTTTTAGGTTCTGTGTTGGATTGGAGTGAGAGGATGTTTGGCTTAAGCTGCAGTTGTGTGAAATGTGATTTGCTGGTGGGTTTGGTTTGTTGGTTTGTTCTGTTTAGAAGGTCTGCTGGCTGGAGTGTGGTGCAGCTGCAGTTGTGACTTGGTGGTGCCTTGTTGGACTGTGTAGAGAGACTTGTTTGCTTGTTTAATTTCTGAGGCCTTGAAGCAAGGGTGCGTGGCAGCTGCAGTTTTGCGCATTGTGCTCTACTGGTGGTCTTATTGGTGAAGCATGAATATAGGAAGCCTGCTATTATGCTGAGTGTATCCAGGTTTCAAGCAGGACAGTATGCTGCTGGTATGCTGCTGGTAGGTTGCTTCTCTACTGCTGCTGGTATGGCTGTAGGGGTTGGATGAAGTGTATTAGGATTCCCAAATGGATGTAGGCTATCAGAGTCCCCTAATACTGCTCTATCCTTGCTTTTTCTTTTCTTTTTTCTATTCTCTCTGTTCCCTCTATTGGTTTCTCACCAATTTAGGGTCTTCTGCTTTCTTGCTCTTCTATCTTTGTTGTTGTAAGTTTGTATGCCATACTTTCTTCATCAATAAAGTTGCCTTTTGTTGATCAAAAAAAAAAAGGCTCAACTCTTAAAAGAACTTAGAGAGTGATAAACATGAGAATATGACACATGTATATGCTCTGAAATACTATGCCAAATGATGCCAAGGCATGCAAACATCACAAGTATAGCTTGGTGGGGACCTTAAAACTCAAGACTAGCAAAGGGACTTGCACCATAGCCATATCAAGCAAGCCCCAAAGAGCCAAGATGACTGAAAACAGTCCCAAGGCAGGTCAAAACAAGGCCAAAACATGCATGGAGTATAGCCAAAAACAAGCTAGCATGAAGGCATGAAGCATGGAGCATGCAAGGCCAACAAGGAGGATTACACTACACTTACCAAAACCAAGCATGAGGTGACTCCACCAACCAAAATCAGAGTTATGGCATGTTAAATAATAACCAAAAACATGCTGGAATGGAATCAACACATGCTAGAAAGATGAGCCAAAACCTTAAGCATACAAGACTAGTTTGCAAGGATTACACTACAAGTGCATTAAGCATGCAAGAGACAATCAAACCAACCCAAAATAGAGTTATACCAATGTTAGAATAAGGCCCTAAACATGCTAAGATAGAGCCAAAACATGCTAGAAAGACATGCTCCTTTGCAAAGCTATAAGTAGGATTATATTATAAGTACAAGAAGTATGCAAGGGGTGACCAAGACAGCCAAAAACAGAGTTATGGCAGGTCTGGAAAATCACAAAAATGAGCTCAAACAAAGCCTCAAGAAGATAGAAATGCATGCTCTTTTGGTTGGCCATCAACACATGCTAACAAGACAAGAGGAGGGGGTGCCCCCTCCTATTTTGAGCCTCCAAACAAGTTTTCTACCATTGAAATTCCTCTGGAATTTAGTGGTTTTAAGGCCAAAAAGAAGTTGTTTGAAAAGCTAGAAAGTTAGCTCAAAAGACCTTTCAAGCCAAAGAGCAAAAGAGAGGACAACCCTCCTAGCTAAACAAGGCACAAACCAAAACTTTTAGGACTGAAAAACAGAGGAAAAACAGAGGTTTTTGTAGTTCAACACCACCCCCAAAACAGTCCAAAACAATGGAAAAAGAATGGTGAAGCAAGTGTGCAAAACAAGCTTGAAAGGGAGAAATGCTTACCCTTGAACCACAGCAGCAAAATGGCCTCTTTCTTGGCTCAAATGGCCCTCCAACAGCCCAAAAATCAATTCCAAGAGGCCTCAGCCCATAGATATGCAACTTTGATGAAGGATGCCTAGGCAAACTAGTAGTATTTCTCTACTTCTATGCACTTCTATGCACAAAAGAGAAAGAGAGAGAGGCAGAGATTAAACTCTGAAAATTGTAGACAGAGAGGGAGTTTAGTGAGAGAAGCTCTTAAACTTTCTTAAGAAGTTCTAACCCCTTCAAAAATATGAGATATAGGTTCATATATAGCAATTCAAGAGCTTTTGGTCAAAAATATCGGAGTTGGGACAGCTGGAGTTTGCTGGAAACAACTAGAGATGAAATATCTTAAAAAATTCTGAATTTGTGTCACTGTTGGCCGATCGGCCATCTTTAGTGCCAATCTGCTACTTGTGATGGCCAATCTGCTACTTTTTTGGCCGACTTCACACATTTGTAGCCGATAGCAAATTCTGCTCTGCAGGTCCAACTTCTAACATACATAAATCCTTCATATGGACTCCTTTTCAGGTCATTCTTGTGTGCAAATTGAAGCCCCGGAAGTAAGCTTTCCAATGGTTGTAGCTTCACATCAAAATTCCAAGTGTGTAAAACGTTATGCCTCTTTTAGTGAAGACTGCTCAGTTTCAGCTCAACCGGAATGATGTCCAACTTCAACCAATCATATCGCCCCCATTCGGACTCGGCTTTAGGAGATTCTTTAGTGAAAAATGAAGCCCCGGAAGTCTTGTTTCCAATGGTGGTGGCCCCATAGCTTAAATCCAAGTTCATAGACCGATAGGCCTGATTTAGCGAAGACCGCTCTACTGTCTCTTAGCGATTCATAACCACCTTCTTCTTCAACTTGGTTTCTTCCCTCTCGTCTTCTTTCCTTCAACTCCAAACCCCTAAACAAGATGTTTTGAAATATTTTCCAAATATTTCATCTCTCTTTCATTCATTTCCACTTTGTCCTTGCTCGGTTTACCGAAAAGCACATCATTTAACAAAATGCGAGCCTCAGAGCATCGTAGAAACTTTATTTCAAAAAATATTTTGAAAGAGAGGGTTTTAAGGTCTAAAAAACATTCAAAATGGGGTGTGAGGTTGGGATTTGACTCTCTGCTTGCCGAAGAAATCAAACTTTTGCTCTGCACATCTTTCACCACCAAGTAAACCATCAGTAGTGCCCAAGTCTTAAGGGCAGTCAAAAATGGGGTGTCTACACCCTTCCAATCTCGTTGTGTCGAGTTCTGAGTGTTGTTTTTCCCTTTTGTTGATTTAACCTTTCCTTCTTTCTCATGAGATGCGTTAGGTTGTTGTTTGCTCGGTTAAAAACATCAGGTGCGCCTAATGTTCACACTACCTTTCCTCCTTTTGCATGAGATGCGTTAGGTTGTTGTTTGCTCGGTTATAAACATCAAGTGCGCCTGATGTTCACACCACCTTTCCTCCTTTCGCGTGAGATGCGTTAGGTTGTTGTTTGCTCGGTTAAAATCATCAGGTGCGCTTGATGTTCACACCACCTTTCATCCATTCGCATGAGACGTGTTGGGTTGTCGTGTCCTCGGTTAAAAACATCAAGTGTGCTTGTTGTTCACACATTTTCTTACATCCTTTCTACGTGAGACGTAGGTAGGTTTGCATTTTCTTACATCCTTTCTATATGAGATGTAGATAGGCTTATATTTTCTTATGTCCTCTCTACAAGAGACGTGTTTGTTTACTCGCTTCTTTCCATGTGGGACACTACTTGATTTGTTTCGCTTTGGTTTATACTTTTGTTATTGCTTGTGATGTTGTTTCATCACTTGTTGACTTTCATTCAAATTTTTTGTTGCGTTGCTTCATTGCATGATCATAAGTTATTTTGTTGTGCATATCATTTGCGCCTTGCCCGTGAACTATGCTGGTTTGATTCCTTACAAAGGGATATGTAGGCAACTTTCGAGTTTAAACACTGCATTTTATGTCTTGATTTCTTTGCCCAAGTCTTACGGCCTTGTCAAAATGGGTCGTCTCTGGGTTTTGACATTCATTCATGTCATTTCATGACTTTGAGTTCTGTCGAAGAGGGCCAACTGTAAACACCCCATTTTTGATTACCCGCAAGACTTGTGCATTTTGTGCTATACACTCGATGATGAAAATAGTATTGTGCATGATTTGCTTTCTCAACCAAGGTAAGGCGCTTAAAACAATCTCAAACCTTTCATAGCTACACTGATTGAACCCTCGAATTTTATTTTTGAACCTTGTACTACCCTACACTGAGCTTAAAACAGAGAAACATGGGAACACTTGTGGGCCCAGTCGTGCCTCATTGAGGGTCGGCCATGGCCAATTGGGGCTAGCCGTGCCCTATGGGCGATAGACACTGTTCTCGGCGGGAGCCCGCCAGCTGTCCATTTTTGGAGATATTTTCAAATTGTTTTACTCAAACTCTAAAAAAATGAGGTTATACCTCTGATTTGAAGGTTGAACAATTTAAAAAGAGCCTATACACACATTGAGAGCTCCTTCTTCTTATGCAAGTCATATTTGAACAAGCTTGTCACCCTTAAGCCATCTCCATACTCCATACACACCCTCAAACCTTAACCTTGGAACCGTGGTTGAACCTTGAGAACTACAATTCAAGCTTGAGAGTGTGTTAGGATTGAGTTTGATCAACAACCAAAGCTTACTCCGTTTGAGAGGTATAAGCTTGTAACGCTTGTTTTTGCTTTCATTTTCTATCATTTTCTATCCATTTCTTGTGTGTTTTTATTGTTTTGATCCTAGTTCAAGTGTTGAAACTTGGGTTTGAATAGCTACCAAAGGGTAAAGAGGGTTGACACGCTCTCTTACACCTTACTTCATAGCTCAACCCTTGTCTCTACACTCTTTTCTTTGACCTTTCAAACTGATTTTCAAAGTTCAATAAAGGTTAGAAAACATGCTAAGAGGCTCCAAAAAATGAAGAGGTTGACCACATCTCCTTGCATTTGTTTACTAGCTTTGCTTTGCCTTATTCCTTTCTTCTTCTTCTTCTTCTTCTTCTTCTTCTTCTTCTTCTTCTTTTTTTATGTTCTTATCATAATTTTTGGCCACTGTTTTAGCGTATTAGAGGCTATTTTAGATATGTCCTAATTTATTTAATTAGTTCATGCTTTGATTAGTTTGCTTGTTGGATCATAAGTTCCCATACATAGCTTGTTGAAAGTTGTTCTTGGCCTTTCTTTGTTTAAC